TTCCATTCATTCAACTAATACAATGTCAAGTAAGTATGCCATTTTCCAAGAAAGCCGCTCCTGGAACACTTCTCACATGAGTTCAAAATAGGTCAGTAAGGAATTGAAGAGTAAGAAGTCTGTGTTTTGGTCATTGTGAAAGAGGTTTTTATAATTTTACCACAAAAAGGTGTGGAAGCCAGGTGCCTTCCCAGAAAGTTCAGAATATTATAAACTATTCCTGATTAAAAGCTTAAAAGCTTTTTTTTTTTTTTTTTTTTTTTTAAATTAACAATGTATGAAACAGTGTGTCATATATCCTTTCCCTCAGTATGAAGTTACTTAAGCTATTGAAAAGTATGATACTGAAAATAAGTTATTTTATCCTGTGCACTTCAGTGACTTAAAGCACAAATGTCCTTAAAGGAGTTTGTTCAACACTGAAGAGCATCAAGACAGCTGAATAGTTTTAAAAGTGATATACATCTGCAGCTATACTTAGTTGCATGTGTAGAGCTCAGTCCATGACAAAAAACTATGACTAAGCCCAAGAGGTGAGTCTTACAGAGAAGCACACTAGAGCAAAGGAGAAAGCTGAGACTGAAGATACTCATAGGAGAGAAATACGCAGGAGATGAAAGCTGTGCATGCAAAACTGGTTGGTTATTGGAAGTAGGCATATTCAAACTTTTTCAGAAAGATTCTGGAATTTTGTCACTAAGGAACAGGAATGGCAAAGAATCAAGAATGTTTGTGGAAAGACTGAGGTGGTGAGAACCTAGAAGATACCACTTCCTTGTCTGTCTTCTTAGGAGCAGAGGGATTAATACTACATGTGTTACCTGAAATGTCTTCTCTTTGATAGTGATATAGGGACCAACAGCTGAACTCCATCAGCTTTACATTCTGGTATATTTTTGAGGAAGACTATTGGTAATGAGGCACTTTTCAAACAATGAAAACATGCTGCTGGAGCAGAAAAAGAGGCAAAAAAAGAGATTAATATTAAATAGCTACCTTTGTGACCTGGTAAGAAGAAAAAACATACATGATACAAGGACAAAGGTATTGATGGTCTTCTGGATACCATTACTGATACATTAAGATAAATCTTAATAGGAAGTTACTTAGAAGGAACTTTTGGAATAAGATTTTAGAGTATGGTCTTTGCATCCATGCAAAGAGCTGTTTGAAAAATGTAGAAAAATGTTGGTAAGTACATCAAGACACCTCTGTTTTACTTGGAGAGACTGAGACAGTATTACATTGTGGATAATATATGGTATTCTGAACAAAATCGGAGTGTTTTCTAATTATAAACACAACTTCAATCTCATAGGTTAAAATGTCTGACAGTTAAAATCTTTGACCTGTTCTTTACAAGATTAAAAAAACCCCAGTGTCACAGGAACAATTCTGCTATTTATGAAAGGATTTGATATTGAGGGTGTCTAACTTGTAATGTCAGTGGAGTAAGAGTATGAAAAAGTTACGTGTCAGATTCTTAAATGCTTGGGATTCATGATTTGGATCAGATTGTAAAGAGCAACATGATAAGGCATGCTTCAAATTTGGCCCTTAAGGGTGTATTGTCCATTGCTTAGTATAGCCTCCAGTTCTGATGGCTAATTGAGAGTCTTACCAATTTTGAAAAATTGGTTGACCATATGTTAAATTACTACATATGCCCTAAATTGTTCAGTCTACTTTTTACTTGTGAGTACCTGTAGAAACAAATAGGGAAGCAAAAAATGGAGAAAAAAGGTAGGTAGTGAGGGTTATGTTTTACAAGAAATAAAGAATTCCATATTCCTTTTTTTTTTCTAGTGAATATTGTCAGTAGAGTTTTGGGAGCTATTCAGCTCATCAGCCAGTAAGTGCAAGGATAGTGTTTGGCATCCTGCTGCCACTCCAGAAGGCAGCACATCTTTTGTAGGTCCTGACAGCCTTGTGTGGACATCTCAGAACCTTTCAGTGGCTCAAATGGCTCAAATGTGAGCAGCTGAATTGAGCTTCAGGTATCTGGTTTTGGAGGAAGCTCCACTGACTTTATTGTCTATATCTCAGTTGATTGAAATGGGAGACAACTTAGATTCAAGGTGGGCCCCTGTGTGTAGTATCCCAGATACAGGTGTCTCTGAAGTTTTATCTGTAGCTCATGTGTCAAAACTCTATTTAGATACTTACATTCAGATGGGTTGATTTCAAACTGAACCCTGCATAGTTTCCTCCTTATATTTAATTTTAGCAAAGTCACTCAGATTTTATTTGTTTGTTTGTTGGGAGACAACCAGCCTAATTACAGTACAAGCCAACACCAGATTCTCTAGAGATATCTTCAATTAAGTGGAATTAAGTTTGTCCTGGGAGTAGACAAGTTTTAGGAAAGATGTTGGACAGTGGACAGTGTCCTAGCTGATTTTTATTGCCAGGATTATAATGCAGTAAATTCTGTTTCTTTGCTGTGTCATGTAGACTTACTTGTACAAAAGTGGCATTTTGCAGAAGTTACAAAATAGCTCTGATCATCTGAGTTATTTACTGCACACATTTTTGCACATTCCCTTTTTTGAAAAATTTTAAATCTAAATGTACAGTTAATATTTTACCACAGACAAAATCCGTCTTTTCTACACAAAATCTCTAGAAGAGGAAGACAGCTTATATTGATATTCCAGCACCATTAGTTTATCACTGTGACTTTTTAGAGCTACAGAGTATTTCAATTTATTATTAGTAACATTTCCATTTATTATCGCAGATAGTTTTGATAAGGACAAAAAATTGCTGTGGACTATATTATTGATTGTGGAATTATGAAGCAAGGATATAAAAATTAGTTATTAAATTAATTTATTTTCCATTTCTGCATAGTTCGATCCCATGTTTTATTGGGGTTAAAGGGTATTTTACAAATGAATTGATAAAGCCAGCATATATAGTTTTCTCATAGAGTTTGTCTGCTATGTTGTATGATATGTGAATAAAACTCATTATCTATTTTGTTTGTGTAGTAATTATATTTTGTTGTCCTGTGCATTCCTTTTGCTCTCTCCATCTCATAATACGTGCTGTAAAAGCACACATAAATAAATAGGATAAACAAATTAAGCTGTTTAAATAAATTAATTTACTCTGCAGCTCTGTATTCAAATCTTATGTGCTCACTGGATTTCATTTTAATGAAACCCTTCTAAGAACAATACATTGTATGCCAAACAGTGAAATTATATATTAAATGAATTATTAAATATACTGTGTTCCAATTTATACCAAATCTGTACGCTATGTATGCTTAAGTCCTCCTAAATCTAAAGAAATAAATCTTCTGCATTCTGAAAACATCTGCATTATAATCCTGCTCTTGAATACTCGGTTCATGGACATATAAACACAATCAAAGTCAAAATAAGCCTAGAGCTATGATGCAGTTAAACTATCCTCATCAATGTTTTTGACTTAAAAACCTGAGACTATTAAAGTGGAATCCACTTAAATGGCTTGAAACATTGCTCTGAAAGGTCTTCTCCCACTGCATCAATAGGCCCATTGAATCCCTTTGCAGTCAAGATCTCAAATTTAGCAAATATTTATTATGAAGCTTATGTGGAACAAATCTATTGATTACTATAGATGGTCATGTTGCTAAGTTTCATAGGAACACATTCAGAGAAATAAATGTTCACCTAGCTGCTGTGCATGAAAAATAATGACTGCTGCAAAAGCAATTTGCTGTGTGAGGAATGTGATGCTCTTTTCAGGAAAACTTTTAGGCATTTGCAGCAGCAAGTTTTCATATGTGTTACATACTAATTGTATTATTTCATTACCGAAAGCTTTTAGTGAGTTGCATGTATACAGTTGGGATTTTTGATTGTTGTTTTTGGTTTCGGTTGGTTGTTTTTTTTCATTAGGAGCCACTATTTCAATTATCAAAAGGAAAAAATAATCCAACAACCATAAACCCCCTGTTTTAACATTTTCAGTCCCTCCAATAGATTTCCCTTATAGGAACTATTTCTTTTTATCACTATTCACCCAAACCAAGCTAACTCACACATATTTTAGCAATGGCATAGTCTTGGGAGCTATTAGCAATAGAAAGGACACTGCAGGGGAAGAGAGATAATTTTCTGGAAAGGGCTATTCTGCACTCAGCTCCCTTTGTTTATTGTTTCTGTCAAAGTTCTATGTAAATATCAGATACATCTATCTGCTACATACTGATCTCACATCGCACAAGTGCAGTTCAAACCATCACAGTGCTCATGCTCTAATTTTCAAAATCAGGAAACATCTTGAAGTACATCATAGCTCCTCCTGGCTACCATGCCAGGCTTTCCCCCTGGGTAGAAAACCATGAATGGGCATTTTTCCCCATTTTGAAGTAGTGATATGACCAGTGATATGGCCACACTCTTCCAAAAAGTGTGGTTCATTCCAGGTTTGTGCTCCGTGGTATAAACAGATATTTGGACTTCCATCAGCCATGTTTCTGGTAGGGAGATTAAATTTTATTGATGATCCGTAGCAGTTCCGTAAGATCTCATTGCTCAAGAAGCCTCTTGGGAATTAGAATATGGAGTGAAATTCAGCTTAAACTAAAACAACAGTGTCTAGTCTTCATTTATTTACAAAAGTACATCATTCCTCATCCTGTAAGGCTAGAGTCTGTAAGCCAAAATGTGTATTTCCAATTCAACAGCATGCTGATAGAAGTGAGGGAAAAAAAAAAAAAAAACAAAAGCAAACCAACAACCTTATTTTTGTAAGTAGTCCAGAAGGCAGTTTAAAAGCCTGACAGGATGAGCAGCGCTCACATTGCATATTAAAGCGTAAGGTCTAATGTCCTAAAATTGCCAAGTTTCCTTCGAGAATATTCTGCAAATCCTGGACACCTCAAGAAGGGAAAGAATAGGTTGTACTTTAGGGAGAGATGCAGTTTAGGAAAGTGACGTTTGGAAACAGAGGTTTAGTTTAACATTGCCTTTTTTTTGCAATTATTTTTTTGTGGGGTCTAGGAACGTGTTCCAGACAGCCCTTCTCCTGCTCCTTCTCTTGAAGAGGGCCGAAGACCTGGCAGCCATCCATCCTCTCATCGAAGCAGCAGTGTGTCCAGCTCTCCTGCACGGACCGAGAGCTCTTCAGACAGAATCCGTAGGTCACATTCTTCTCCTTGTCACCACTTTAAATTTGATTAGGTGCAGCTGGTTTTTCTAATCAAAATGCCCTCATCTTAAATAGATCTCATATGTATCATGTTCGGAAGTTCAGCTGCAATAACTATCTCCCGACATTATGTTCCCCAGTTTACAGTATCATAATATCTGATGCTACATTAACGGGTACTGATATAAACTGCCATCATGTCATATTAAACATAAAGATATGAGCTATGAAATACAGAATTGCAGCCGGGAAGCAATTTGCTAGATTAGTTTTAGAACCGAACATATAGTGTAAACATTTTTTAAAGAAATTGAGTTTTATTTAATCTGGTTACTCTGGTTTGATTTCTAAATTGAATCTGACTTCATAGCAGCATTTTACATGGTGGAATGGCTTGGTAAAGAGAAGAATTAGGTTAAATAAATTAAAAAATGTGCATGCTTTATAAATTTTTTAAATATAAAAATTTGTAATGGTAAAGAAATACGATACAGAGAATATTATCACCTCATAGGTCACAAGGGGTGGAGAGAAATTAAACCATAGTGTCTCAGAGTGATACCATTTTTATCAAGGCTCCATATACAGGATGTAAATTGCACGTCAAAGACCCTGAATTCTATGATATTCCAGTGCAACAACCTGGAAATTAAGGTTTAAAACAGATATTATTTTTTTGATACTTACTTAAATTCATATTACACTTGTCCATTCCTTTTATTATTGTTCCGTTTCAGGTTTTCGTGCTTTTAAGGCATCTTTCCACAATGGAATTTGTCAGTAGGCAAAACTGGAGGATTTGGCGTGCAGATAAAAGGCCGTGAAATAGCTATATGAAATACGTAGTCATGTTGATTAGATGCAGTACATGTGTCTTTTAGACTGCTTCCTTTCAGGCTCTCCGCAGACTCAGGAAGCTGGCTCTTCATTGACCTTCAGATGAAAGATCTTTCATTACTATGTGATGAAAAATGACTTACCAAAGAAAAGAAATGAGGCCTGAGCATGAAAAGCTGAAAATACTGTTTTCTTATCACTTGGACTATTCAGAGTGCATCCCATATACTGTGACCTATCTACTTCCCAAGGCTCGACCCATGAGCATTTCCTTATATTTTCCCTCCCCTGTCCAGCTGAGGAGGGGGAGTGATAGACCAGCTTTGGTGGGCACCTGGCATTCAGCCAGGGTCAACCCACCACAGAGTTGGTACTTAAAGTTCTGGAAAAAAACCTCTCAACCCTGGAATTTTAGTATTTTTTTTTTTTTAATTGATTGAGTAGTATCTTATTTACAGCCATTGAAGACCTTTTCCTTTGGTGTCTAAATAAAAAAAGTAAATTAAATTAAATTGAGAGGTACTTACTGTTTTTTCTAGGGAATGACTTTTTTTTTTTTTTTTTTTAAATAAATGGTCCTATTCAGCTTACTCTGCTTACTTACTGGCAGAGAGGAGTGGGACCTTTGCACATTGTTTCTTCCAATGTGAGCATAACAGAGTTCCTTAAATACTGGATCACTTCAGTAACTTATTTGTTTATAAAATAACTCTTTTTGTCTCCTTATCTGATTTGTTAACATCACACCTGATTCTTAAGTACATCTGGTATTGTGGTGCCAGCAAGAGTAAGAAGGCTACTACAGAAATATGGGTTACATATGAAAGAATGCTTTACTGAAAATGGTATAAGCCTCTTGCAATTACAATTTTTGAAGAAAAAAGCATAGGGATATAATCTTATATGGGTGTCTGAGGTGTGTTTGAGACTTGTGAAGGTCTGTCTGAGAACTGTTGGAAAGAGCTTTCCAAGCTATCTGATGAGGAAATAAGCAATTCCACTGTTGCACAGTGTATTTTGAAAAACAGTGTTTATCACCGGGAAAGCTACAGTGCTTAATTTAAGGAAGTTAGGGACTGCATATTAGGAATGCTAATATACAAGAGGTTTTGTACAGCTATCAAAAAAAAAAAAAATCAGTAAGTATCTCACGTAGAACCTTCTATGCTTTTCTGGTTTGCTTAATTTTTTTTCAGTTCTTGTCAAATAAACAAGAAAATGTTTGCAAATATCCAACTTTGTCCAAAAAATGCTGAACTCTTCTTTTAAAATGAGTTGTTTTAAACCAGAACTAACAGGAAGAAACTCTCCCACTGTGTGGATACTGATATCACTAATTAAGTAACTTTGTGATTGTTAGAGTTCTTGTATAATTAAGAGGAAGACTATATAAAATAAGGACAAAAGTGTATTGTTAATATGTCAGCTGATGTTCTTTCTGCCTGCGCTTGTGTCTAGCAGCTGTCCATCAGAACGGGCTATCTATGAACCAAATGCTGATGGGTTTGTCACCTAATGTCCTGCCTGGACCTAAGGAGGGTGATCTGGCTGGTCATGACGTGGGACATGAGACAAAAAGAATACACATTGAGAAAGGTAATACAAACATTATAATTCTACCATTTCAGTGTAAAACAAGTATTGTCTTAACAGCTAAATAGTATTATAATTGTGATTTTTATTTTTTTAATTGGGATTTTTTTGTTTCACAAATTAAATTACAACAGGATGATAGCTTTCTTTATTACAAAGAAGGATGAGTGAAAAACAGTTTTACATTACTATTGTGTCTCTGACCCTTCTACAACACTGTTTAGGTATTAAGTTTCTGTCTCCATCCAGTTGACTTTAATGACCTACTTCCCAAAGGGACTGAGCACCGTGAAAATTAGTCCATGTGTGCAAAAAGGAAAAAGGCTAATACCAAGCCATTAAATTAGGGAATTGCATAAAATGAGGCTGGTACACATTATATAATGGGATTTAAATTTAATTGAGTATATGACCAAAGTGTTTGATCTAGGTGAATAGTCCACATGCACTTATGCTGATTATGACACCATTTCATCTCTGTTGGTATTCAAAGTTAAGTTCCTGTTCAGGGTTGTTACAGGGGATTTTGGAGGGGTGGTGGTGGAATTTTAAAAGGTGCGTTTCATGTTATATTTACTTAATATATATGAATTTTATGTATTATAGACTAGAAATATCTTGGTTAAAGAAAGGTTAGAAATATGACATATTCTTTGAAAAAATATTCTTTGGACTTACCAGAAAAATCAGTTTTTTGAGCACAGCGAGAGGAAAAGTAAAAGGTATAATAGCCAGACATTGAAACACAGCCGCAGAAAATCCTGCAGCAATGAAGATTTCAGAATAAGACATTTTGTGCCGTATTTTAATAGCTATAAGACGATGCCTTCTCTGTCTTATGTTTGAACAGTGAGATATAAAAAAGAATCAAAATCTGGACAATTCTATTCTGGACAGGTGGCATTTTTAATAGGATTACCAGAAAAATTAATGGAAACAACATTTCTTTTATATAAACCATTTAGTTTGGTTCATTGCACACACAACCTGTTAAAGCTTATACTATGCCCTCACTCAGCCCCTGCAAATTGTATCCCTGCTGGGAAGTATGATGTGATCAAATAGCTTTGTTTTGAATGTCCATAAATGATTTTATTTCAGCCTTTGAAGTTACTCATTTAAGTGTAATCAGACTGGTAAACCCTGCAAAGAGAAGTACATAGTAAGAATTGCTACTATTTTTGCATGTCATTCAGGTTTTTTAAAGTCTTTGTTTATAATGGTGCCCCAAATGTATTTTCCGATCTGTTGCCAGTTCACGTTTTTTGCAAGATACGTTCTCAGTAAAACTGCTGAGAATTCTCTTTTTTTCTCAGTCCTTGTTTAGGTCAAACCTTCTATTTTTTGTTCTTTTTTCCCCCTCTGTTCCAGCCTACTGAATTAATGGTAAATATTCATGGGCTATCTAGATTGATAGGGTATACTAAATTAAAAATTGTTTTCTGTCATGACTACATTTATCATGTCTCTCATACCAATCTTGCAACTTTAATACTAATCTAATCTGTATTAAAACATGTGATTTAACTTATAGATGTTTTTGAAGATAGTAATTATCTACTTCTGTCACTGTGAGCTTGCAATCAGATTTCCAAACTGTTGCTTACCATGGCAAAGCAGTCAGAATGCAACCCTATTTAAAAATGTGAACAAACACATGTAGGTGGTGGAACCTTCATCATGTGATTCAAAAGAAAAAATAAGAGAGGAAAAGAGAAGTTCTGAATATGTATCATGAAGCATTTCAACATTATTGTATTTTCTTCTAAGCCACTTTTGTTGGCAGAAATCTATCAGCTGCAACTAAAATGTCTTTTAACTGAACCTGGGAAATCCCGCCTGTTAAGAAGGCCCTGTATTTTCTCCTCTTCTCTCCCATGCAAAAAGGAAAAGTCCAAAAATCTCTGAAGTGATCTGAGATCAGGGAAAAATTATTGACAGTCAACAGAGATTTTAAAGGGGGAGCAAGGTTCTAACACCAGCAACTGATCAACATACTAAATTTTGAAAAGACTTAGCATATGTCAGAGGGGTGAGTCATTTGTCTGACCTGGTCTATGAATTGGATACAGCAAAGAAAATACCATTTATCTGTTATAAACATAAACCAAAGGAGCTAATTTACCCAGTCCATGCAACACAGTGTAGCATACTTAGAAAGAGTTCATTGGCACTTGCAAACTGAGTAACAGTTTGAGGGTATTCAGTCTTTCAAAGATCATATGAATTTCTATCCAAAATTCAGACAGAAATAGTGGCAGAAATGAGTTCATTTTACTGGGGTGTTTTAAGCTGCCAATAAATCTCTTGTGCAGTTTCCTTTGAAGGTATTTTATTTGCCTTTAGACTGTCTTCAAAATCTGTCCTCAGGTTCTGGTGTATGCAGCCTTGAGTGCCCTCACCTTCCATTGGAGTCAGGTTGTCATGCCACCAAGAATCAAATTAGGTTCTATGGTCTGATTAGCTGCCTGTTAAAACTTGGAAGTTTGCATCAGGCTCTGGGTCAGTATTTGTTGCAGGAAAACAGGAAGAGTTTCTATTCTCAATGACCATATGTA